TCTCCCCTCGGCAGCCAGATGGAGGTTTTGAGGCCTTTTGCTGGGAGCCACCATGTTCTCTTGTATGTCGTAGCTGGCTCTTGTAGGGCCTGTTTTGCAAGAGCAAAGGGACTGTGGGGGTTTCCAAAGTCTGGGGTCTTTTTGTTACTGCGCATTTATATCCTGGTGAATGTTTTGTTTTTCACCATCTCCTATCAAGGCTGGGCACCTTCCAATTCTCCCATTCCTAATGTGAGAGCTGCAGTTATGTAGAGAGATCTCCCAGAGTGATAAAAAAGCACAGATCAGCATGCTGCAAGGAGCTTTGCCTCAGGAAATTAAAAACTCCAGGGCATGGTGTGCGAGATGTATACCTGCTTGCTCTCAGCCAGCACAAAAAGCTGTTTTGCCTGCTCTGTTTGTTGTCAAGCCCAGCTCCCATTCTGTCAGCCAGGGTTCTCAAAAAGACTTCGCCCTGCCTCTTGCAATCAGATAGATCAGCATCTGTCCAAAGAATGGTGCTGCAGCTGTGAGTGCCATGGAGTTATCGCAAGTGGAAATGATCTTTCTGACAGACCTGCATAAATTCAGATAATTTTAAAGGAAAGTGGAAGTTTTTCTTCTGCTATGGATATGCTTACATTTGAGAAGAGGAACTTGTCAACTGAATCTGAGGAAGCATTAACCACTTTTGATTCCTTGGTTTGGGTTTTTTTCCTCAGCCTGATCACTTCTCCAGTTGAGTTTACTGAATGTTCCCATGGCATAGCAAGGGCAGGAACAAGTGAGTGAGGAAATGGACAGACAGATGAGTTGCTGCTTAACTCTTACTGGGGGAGAAATTCATGCAGAACCAGCACCTTGGAAGATGGGACACCTGAAGGTTCAAGCTGTTACAATGCCGTGCACTGAAGAGCCTAAGTCTCTGTGACTCGGGTCTGAAGTGACTTGCACTGTAGCACACAGAATGTTTGGGTTAGAGCAAATGATGCTGTTTTTTGCAACAGTGGTGACATATCTACCATTTGAATTTATTGCACTCAAACTTTGCTGTGATACCAAAAGGATATGAAGTTTTCTGGATGTGTATTATAATCAATTACTTAGTAGCAAATGTCACAGTTAATGTCTCTATTTCCCAGGGAGATGACAGCCTGTCTGTGATAACCTGTGAGTCAGATACAGAAATGGTGAGTTTTATTAATGGCGCGCTGCGGATGAATGCCTTAATAGGCCTCTCAGCATCTGCTTGCACGCACTATCTCCACGTGATGCCTCCTCATTGTTGAGAGACCCTTCAGAGGGGGGAGCTAACGATGTTATTGCAACGTAGTTTGATTCAAAAACCTCCTCTAATTCCAGATGTAATTCTGCCTTCTAAATTCTCAGCACTGGGGGCTGCAAATGATATTTGGCTTCATTTTGCTGTTCTATCAAGTTATGGGCCTAAGTGATAATTTTACGGAGTTTTAATGGAATTAAGTGGCCAGCAGGAGTAGGGAAGTGATTGTGCCCCTATACTTGGCACTGGTGAGGCCACACCTTGAATACTGTGTTCAATTTTGGACCCCTCACTCCAAGAAGGATGCTGAGGTGCTTGAGTGTGTCCAAAGAAGGGCAACGAAGCTGGTGAGGGGTCTGGAGCACAAGTCTTATGAGGAGCAGTTGAGGGAACTGGGGTTGTTTAGTCTTGGAGAAGAGGAGGCTGAGGGGAGACCTTATCGCTCTCTACAACTACCTGAAAGGGAGTTGTGGCGGCGAGGGTGTTGGTCTCTTCTCCCAACTAACTAGTGATGGGACGAGAGGAAATGGCCTCAAGTTGCGCCAGGGGAGGTTTAGATTGGATATTAGGAAAAATTTTTTTACCGAGAGGGTGGTCAAGCATTGGAACAGGCTGCCCAGGGAGGTGGTGGAGTCACCATCTCTGCAAGTGTTCAAAAAACGTGTGGATGTGGCGCTTCAGGACATGGTTTAGGGGACATGGTGGCGCTGGATTAATGGTTGGACTTGATGATCTTGAAGGTCCTTTCCAACCTCAGTGATTCTGTGATTCCTTTAGCTAAATGGTTCTACAGATCAGCCTCTACTCTGTGATCATCTTGAATTTGGTGCTACTTGTATTTAATACTGATGGGGAAGGTCTTAGTGTACTGAGCATGAATAGACTACTTTTTATTTGTAGCATAAAACTTCAGTAGGCACCACCTTAATTCTGGTGACTCTTACTGTGGCCAAATCCACATATACTTAACGCTACTGTTTTTGTTTTCTACACTGAAGATTTTGTGTTATTAGAACAAGTGTGCTTCATACAAAATGGAGATTGAAGACAGTTTTGAGATTATATGCTAAAATCTTTAGAGAGTGTAATATTTTAAATACATTAAAAATTCTTATTCTCTTCCAGAAGTTAAAGAAGAAAATTTTTCACAAGCCTCCAAAGTCACCAAGTAAGTGTTCAAAAATTTTTTTCTGCTGTTTCCGTTATTGTAGATCTGTGGGACACAAGAACTGGAAGATTTACTTGAAACAACATCTTATTATTCTCCTCAGAATTATTCACTGGTGTGTGCAGACCTCACCTATATGAGATTTGTTCTGTAACCAGAGAAGTTAGACTTATAGGTTAAATATTGAAGTTTGTGCGTTAGTTGTAGTTCTTGATTCTCCAGCATAGCCTGCTTTCTTCGCATGTTATCCCTTATAATGGTAAACATTCTGAATTTCTTTTTCTCTTTGTCTTTTTAGACAAATGCTGATACTTGTTGTTTAGAAAGAATCTAGAATTATTGGAGCTACCTACCATCCAGTAGATATCTATGTTTGTAGATTAAGCAGTTCTCTTTCATTTGTTGTTTGGTTGATTTTTTTACATGACCTTAGCAGTACAATGTTATTATTAGATCTGCAGATTTAATGTGGATTTAGGTCCATTTTTCTGGGGTTGGTGTTTCTTGCTATACTCATCCATTTACCTTCCTTTTTATACTTTCAGTGAATGTTTCAAAGACGACTTCACCTCAAGGTGCTGCTGCTTGTTGTTACTTTGTTTTGTTTCTAATAAATTAAATAATGTTGTACTTTTAAATATTGCATTAGGTTGAGGCATGCTCTTCTGGTAGATGTACATATGTTGTCTTTTCCTGACATCCCTTTGCTTGCCTAAATGATAGAATTTAAAATAGGTGTTTAATTTCAACTATGATGTTTGTGACATTGCTTCTTACTGTATATACTTCTGTTGGCAAGTTGAAGACTAACTATTTAGCCCATACAGTGCATAGCTATATTAATAATTTTAAGTGGAATTAGTGTCAGTATTTTATTTTAACCTGACTGCCATACCTGAAGTAGTAATGTGAGGGGCTCCCCAGCAGTTGCATTACACCAATTCTGTTCTTTGATTACTGCAAGAAAATCACTATTGAATTAGTAGCTATAGAGTTACTTCTGTCTGTTTAGCCATACATATTTTTCTCGTTGGTAAGACATTTGTGTCTACATTCATTGAAAGGTCAATTCAATGTATGAATTTGGACATGCAGGTATCTTGAGGATGTCTATCCAAACTGTACATGTAAATATTTCTACGTGTGTTGAGTCATATTACTGTCACTATGCCTCTTTCTAAGCCTCTTCATTTTTTGGAATGGGATTTTTTCTTTATCGTGACTTTTTTTTTTTAGGTGAATGTCCCATTGCTCTGCATAAGCTAGTATGTAGTAAGCTATTAATTTTGATTTTTACAAGTGATAGGATTGTGTCTGGGAACCCTGAAGCACAAGAAAAAAAGCTCAAGGTCACAAAAATTCTAAGGTAATGCTGAGATATTTTCTTTTGTTTTAGAGTCTCCATACAGCTCTAGCACGCAACTGTACCCTAAAAAAGTTGCAGTTTGGCGATCTCCGCAGGGAGTAGGCAGTGCGCATCTTGAGAGTACAGCTGTAAAAAACTCAAGGCAGTTGTGGCTGGGATCACTGAAACAAGGTATTAGTATAGAAACTTTATCTGCACGTGTGCATAAAATTCAGTGTTGTGGACAGCTTAACATATAAACTCTTAAAAATAGGTTTTATTTGATTATAGGCTACATAGGAAGTCATTTCACTTTATTTGGGTGGTTTGAATTATCTGATCTTGAGCATTGGAATTTACAGAGGGAATAATTAACAGCATCTGGAGCTTTCTATGTTGCATTTGCTCAGAATAAATCCACGAATTTAATTCACAATTATCCCTGATTTTTGCATTTTGTTCCTTTTTTGTTGGCAGGAATGAACCATCCTCTGAAATCAGATGTTAACATGGGGCATATGCGAACTTACATTTCTAGTAGCACTCCAGAATATTTGAAGGAAGCTCTAGGAATGAAGAAGCCAAAACATTCTCGTTCTTCTAGTAATGGTAAACTGTGTAATGGTCTGAGAGATACAAGTTAATGATCTTTTTTTCCATGTAAAAACACACATTGTTTAAGATTTTAGCTTTAGTAAAGCAAGAGCCATTTCAGTTTAACCTCTACTAAAATATATGTGTCAAAATATGATCCATGGGATACTTCCTGAGGTTTCTGAATTGCATAAGACACGGGGTTCCAAATTTTTTTGAGCAATGAATCACTATTAGCTTTCAGAACTTCTTGTAAAAATTGCCATGTATTTGCAGCTGAAAATGTTGCAAATATAATATGGTTGAATGGGCCAGCTGTAGACAATTTGTTGTGACTTTGCAAAACATAGTTTAGTCACCATTGATAGAAACCATCTGCTTGCCTAAAATTCTATGTAATTGACTCCTTTTACTTCTCTAGAAAGTGTTTTATCATGTGGTTGTGATATTAAAATCAATTGAGTTTTATGAGAAGAGCAAAATTTAAAACTTTTATCCTACATTTTTTAAAGGAGAACCATAAACTTAAAAATCCCACTTCCATTTAAAGTGACATCTATACTGTTACTGGTAATACAGAGTTCTGGCACCTTTAAAAGATGATAGACTTTTACATGTTAGGCATAAATAAAAAAATGTATTCTGGACATCTTTTAGAAAGCTTTTGTAAACATTTGATATGTTGGGATGAGAAGACTGCAGTCTTCTGTGAAGTGTATATCTTTCTTGAGATGGATATTTTAATCTAGCACCAGAGAGAAGTAATTAGGAGACATTTGCTGTAAAATCTGGCAGACTTTTCATACAGTAACATCTCCATTTCATGTTCATTTCTGAAATTAATTTCTTTGCTTATTTTTTTCTTCTTAAAAAAAAAAGCACCTAGTTTCCTAGTTTGGTGCTGTTCTAGATATTTTCCTTTAATTGTAAGGTTTCTGGTTAGTTAAAAATACTGCTTTCAGATCTGCTTATTTTATGTACCTTTTTCTGTAGGCTACATTCCTGGAACTCCTGACTACAAAGAAAAAGAAGATATGTATGATGAAATTCTAGAATTGAAAAAGGTACAGTCTCTCTGATACTTACATAGAAAGTGATAGGATCACTCCATCCACTTGTAGATGTTCAGGCCTTGTTGGTTCAGAATACTTTGGTTTCTACAACTGGGACATCCACCAAATCTTTTTTTGCATTTGTAATGTAAGGCTAAACTGCACTTGTGTGTGTTTAAGGCAATTTCATTGTTCTTACGGTGTGATAGATACTTCTGAGTACTGGATGTGGAAGCCTTGAAGTATACCCAGTCCTGAACCCCAGCCATGGCCTTAGCTGGACGCTGAAAAGGTTCATTGCATTTGGTTTCTTTGTCCTTCCACCTCCCCCCCACTCCCTTTTTTATTCCCGCCCCCTGCCCCCCCAGCTGTTACCCATCACACTTCAACAATTTGTCAGTTGAGTTTAGTGCAGTGTATGAAAGATGAGGACTGGGCATGTTGAACACTAGGGATACCTATAAACAAATATCTTGACTGTTGTAGATCATTTGTGTAAGGTTGCCTTTCTGTTAAACCTTTTCGTTTTGTCTTTGCCCTGTCACCTCCCTTATCTGTCAGCCCTGTTCCAGTGTGATGGTCTCTTCTTTTTTCCTTGTGCTTCATCCTGACCATTGTAATTTGATCGTTATTGTCATCAAAATACATTTCCATGTGAAAAGTCGGTGTGTTTCTCTTTCTGAAATGTGCTTACGATTTTTCTCCCCTCTTTCAGACAATACAAGCTCAGAAAAATGAGGGAGATAGAATGAAAACTAAGCTCCGTCGACTAGAAGAAGAGAACAATAGAAAGAATAAACAGATTGAACAACTGTTGGATCCTTCCAGGGTGACTATTTCTTGGGGGTGTAAAAGCGGGGCAAGAGAGTGCTGTGCAGTGTGATCCTCTTCTCCTTGTCTCTCTAAATTTCATGAGTCTGTAGTGTGTTGGTTTCTAGGAATGATGAGCTTGAATATGGGAAGTGGTTGGTTGATGCAAAGGGATTTCTATTCTGTGTATCTCAGCTCACCAGTCCAGCTCAGTTCAAAAGAAGCATGTCTTCAACATGCTATGCTGTGCAGATAAGTTTATTTAGCAACGATACTTTTAATTTGTGAAGGTAAAATTAAAATGCTGTCTCTTTAGAGGCCCACTTTCTGAATATTTTGCCTGAGAGTAGAAGGGAGTTAACCTCTTGCATGGTGACTGATGCATGTGGTCCTGATACCTGAACTAGGAAGCAAAAGATGAGCCTTATTGTCAGACCCATGAGGCTGAGAATCATTTAGAGTCATAGAAGACCTGAATTTCACTGAATTCCTTGTGGGTGTCATTTTCTGTGTGCAGATCTACATCTTGGGAGAAGTGTGCTAATACAAAACAATGAGCATAGGGACTTCAGAATTCAAGTTTTTGGACTGTGAAATGACTGTGGAGATGAGTAGGTTAGAAAATTTTGTGGAAAGAGCTGGCAGTAGAATAAAGTAGCAAGGTTGGTCACTTGCTTTATCTGTCTTCTCTTGCAGGCCTCGGAGCTGGCACGAGCTTTGTCAGAAAAGAAGACTGATAATGGATGGGTAATAGTTTCTTCATTACCTTTTGCTTTCATTTTTCTTTTTCCTCTTGCCAAGCTGAAACACTACTGATTAAAAAAAAAAAAGTAAGAAAGAATAAGCAATTAGGGAATCACGTAACCGTTATTTCTATAGTCAGATAAGAAACCCGTAACAGAGATCTGGAATTAATATTATTTTAGGGAATCTTGACTATATTTAGGGAGTTTTCTCCCTATTATTTGCTGCTTTGAATTTAGCAGGGTAATGGGCAGAGTTGTTTTTATTTAATGATTGTGTATAAATATTATTAAGCTGGTTATGTTACCACAGATATAAGAGAGGGATCTGATTTCATTAGTGTTATCTTTGTCACAGGGTAGCAGATGTGTATGATTTACCAAATACTGAAGTATGTAAGAATAAGTATATCTAGCTAGGTACAATTTATAAAGACAAGGCAAGATCATGGAGAAGTGGAACTTTTGTGAAGAGCTGGATTATTCTGGGACTCATGAGCTCTTTGTTCTTTCTGTAGGTGGTTAGTGGATTGAAGCAGAAGATTCTCAAGCTAGAACAACAGTGCAAGGAGAAAGACAACACTATTAAGTATGACTTTGTGCGTGTAGCGGGGTAGAGGCTTGTACTGGATGAAATAAACAAAATGGATTTCAAATTTCCTTTATTTTTATCTGTATTCTTCTGTCCCTTAAGACATTTTAGTGAACTCTGAGAACATATTAGCAATTATAAACCCCTCACCCAGAAACTGTAAACCAACAGGTATTGCAGCATCTTTGCTGGTCTGACTGAACTATTTTTTGTATCATGCTATTTTCAGCAAATTCCAGGCAGACATGAAGACTACTAATTTGGAAGAAATGAGGATAGCTATGGAAACCTACTATGAAGAGGTACATCTGACAGGTCCTTACAGGAGAGGAAGTTGTTCAGTTGTTGAGTTGAAGTATAAATGGAATGTTTTAGATGGGTTTCATACAGCTTAGCTGCACTTGTCATTGGAATCAGATTTTCATAGATATTCTCACAGCTCCAAATGTATGTACTGAAAAACCTTTTTTCTTCAATAAGTTGAGTGTGTTAACCAAAAAGTAGAAGTAGACTAATGTACATCCATAAGTGTCTAGATGAATGCCAATATAACAGTAGCCTGATTTTCAGTGATGGCATCGTTGCCTCTCTACTACCCAAAGAGTCTTGTTCTGATTTTCACCTAATGGACAAACGTGTTGCATTAGCAATGCTGGCTTCCACAGCTAGCTCCTTAATGGAATCTATATTTCATATTTCACAGGTTCATCGACTCCAACTCCTCCTGGCAAAATCTGAGACTATGAGGAAAAAGTATGTTTAATTCTTTTGAGGCAAATGTTTGCATATGTGTTTGATATTTCACTTGTATACTACTTTAACTGATGGGAAACAACTACATGGGAACAGTTTATTTTGTCATTTAGATTGCTGGATTTGCTTCTTGGTACTACTTTGCTTGGCTTCTCAGCATTGGCATATGTCTTAGGCACTGTTTTTTTTTCTTGTAGGTAGGTCATTTTGTGGATGTGGAAAAAAGAGTTATTTAAAAAGTATATGAAAGCTCTTAAAATTTCTCTGTTAAATAAATTCATCTTCCCCATAATCACACCTATTCTGACATCACTGGTGATTGAAACAAACTCACCAGATGTTGGCATTTTACTCTTGAGTCCGTTCTGCATCTTGCTCTGGGGTGTATGCTGCAAGGAAGGTATTTTTGAGTGAACGTTATTATCCTCTGGTGCAGAGAGACCTATCTGCCAGGTCAGGGTAGCTTTTGTGAGATATCAATGAGTGGCACTAGTAAGACGCTGTCAGAGAAGCTTGTACTAGTGCTTGTCACTAATGTGCAGGTTTATAATGGTGGTGATGGTAAACTGTCTATAGAGGAAATAAAAATCAAAGCACAAAGGCAAAAGACAAAGCTCCAGTAAGAGAGCAAAGTAAAAGCATCTATGCAAGTGAGTGTTATTCAAGCTGGGAAGAGGGTAATAGAGTCTTATGGAATAGGAAAATTTGTTACCAGATCACTTCAAAATATGCTTGCCCTCCTGCTATTAAGTACAAGCAGCTACATTAATTTTGCGAGTAATTATTTAGATTGATAGAAACACGTGAGAACTCTTTATGGGTCTTTTTGTATAGTACTTGTTTCCCTAATTCACTGTCTCTTGTGGATTGAGAACTGCAATTTTTTTGTCGGTTTTTTTTTTTATATCTGTTTTGGCTCAGGCATGCAGTGACTAGCCTCTCGAGGCTGTAAGCCATCACACCTAATTTATTTATAGGTGAAAATGAATCATCACATCTCTTCCTTGTCCTCATTTATTCATAGCTTCAAAAAGCAGTGGTCAGGGCAGTCTCTCTCAATTATATGGCTGTCACTCTCTACTTGAGAGGCTGAACACTGAAATAATAATTGATGTTGAAGGTCAGGACTCCGCACATAGAAAGAGTTGTAGGGGAGTGTTTCTCGTATGATGCTTGCCTACATTATTTCTGGCTGAAGTGAATGGCGTGTAGTTCTTCTTTTTCAGTGTTAATGCTGAAATATGATTATTTATGTGTAAAGCTGTAGTGTCCAATTGTAACTAGAAATTAGGCAACCTTTCAAGTCCTCAAAATGGTCTGCAGTTCTTTTGTTTAGGTTTTGATGAGCCTAAAATAATGGCACTCAGTGATATGGTTATGAATTCTATCATTCCATTTTTGGTGTTGTGTTGTGTTTTGTTTTTTACTTTTTTTTCCCCCCTTTTGTTTGGGACACCTGTATGAGTAGTCATCCATGACATCTGGACAGCCTTACTTGTTTGTTTTTATGGCTTAATTTCCTTTTAATTTCCAAAATGTAGGTTAGATTCAGTTTTTCACTCTGATATATTAATTGTAGACTGTCTCCCTCTTTACCTTGTAATTATTCCAGTGGATGGGATGTAAGATTCCTTCACAAACTGTTCTGTGATTGTCACTGGCAGTGGCATTTGTCCAAAAGTAGGTCCACCAGTTACTTCAGAACTTTGTTTTCAGAAGTAGGATTTTAAGAATTTTCTCATAGCGATACAGAACAAGTATTTCATCTCCCTAGAAATCTGTTTTGTGAACAAATGTCACAAACTTGCACATCTAGTAGCTGAGATTTCTTCCCCTTTCTATTAGAAAAACTAAAAAGGCAAAATCACTGTAATATATTTAAAACAGTTTTCATGTGTAGCAGGCTTTCCCTTTTCTGATGCCTTTTATTCCTATCACATCATTGTTAGCTGTATTCTTTAAATCTGTTTCAAATCTCTCATTGACTGAAATGTATCTTAATGAAGAAAGATATTTCTCTCGGTTTTCTTTCACAGGAATAGTTTCTTTTACATTAGAACAGCATTCACAGTATCAATACACTTGTGTGTTGGCTTTGAGAGTTGTTCCCTCTATGTATAGCCCTCTCTCTCCCAATCTGAATCTCTTTACATGAAAGAAAGCAATTCAGAGCACACAGGTTAGCTTTCCATGCTGAACAGTTTTTTGGAGGAGTCTCCCAATTGGCTGAAGATAAGTGTTTTTAACTCAGTGGTCCATAGAATGCTGGTAAAGCTTTATAAGGTTGGTTAACAAAACAAATAGAAAACCAAATAAGTAAAACTCATACAAGCACATTTGTTTGTGCGTTAATGAAATAGTGGAGGAAGAAGTAAAAGTAATAAATGAACTTTCAAAGTTTCATCTTTCTTTCAATTTTAAACAATTGTGAAAGTGTTCAGCAAGATGGTCTTTGCATGTTTTTTCCTAAAAGGATAGGTAACTCCTCAAGTAAAAAATGTTATGAAATGCTATTGGGGGAAACTGAGACAGTTTACTTAGCCAGCTGACTTGAATAGTGAGGCTGTTCCACTCTTTTTAACACTGCTGCTTTGTTCTCTGCTTTTAAGTTAACTTTCTGGTTTTGACCCTGTTTCCAAGTGCAGAGGGCAGAGATACCCAAAAACGACTGAAAGCACTGAATGCTGCTGTCCTGAGATTATCCAGGAATATCAAGGAATTGCAGAATGAAAATCAGAGGCTGAAAGAAGATCTAGATCATGTACTGAGCAGTTCTCTGCCTTCCAATAAAATAAAAAGTACGTGCTGAAAATTTGATGAACATGGGGTAAGGGAGTTAGGTATGCTTGAAAGATGTGTTTGAGAGCAGGACCTTACGATGGTAAGAATAAGGGAGTTATTCCAAAGGTGAAGATTCAGGAGGGTCAAAGATGGGAATGAGAAGTTTCTTATAGGAGTCTCTCTGTGACTTCTGGATATGCTGCTCCAGTCAGACCTGGGTTTCCCATATTATCCCTGTGAATTCTGGACTGGAATCACTTGAAGATTTAATGTTTCACTGGACAGCTATTTTTCAGTTGTTGAAAACTGATGGATGTGAATGGCTCATGTTGATTTCTGAACTAATTGTTGTAAAGTCAGATGTTTTAAGACCATTCTTATTTTTTCATGGCTGCATATTTAAAGTTGGGGTTCAGAGGTCTTTAGATAGTCTTTCCATACTGACAGAATTTTCGAAAAGCAAGAACATTTTTGCATCACTGATACAGTTTCATGTTCAAGTCTTTGTTATTGTATTTAGACTATAGTGAGTGGAGCAGACAGAGGCTGGTGAGGCGGATTTTGGAACTAGAAAAAGTAAGTGATTATAATCATGTGGCTATCTTACCTGTCTTTGACCAGAAAATGCAGAACCACTGACTTCTACTCATGGCATGTAGTCCTTCAGTGTATCAGCCTTGTGCATTCTGGCTTATGCATGTGAACTGATGTCTGTCCCATGTACCCTTCCTCCCTTTTTCCTTTTCTCATACTTGTTACGTATAGATGCACATTTTAGAATTAACTTCCATTTGATATTTTCTCATGGCCTAAATAAAATCATTTTATGCTTAATTTAATTTTCTTCTTTTCTCTTTTGTATTTTTTTGTGTAAATTTATCCCATTCAGAAAGTATGTGCCATGGAGAACACGAGGGTATCATCAGCAGATAGTGAGTCATCACAGTTTCTTGCTGTGTCATCTTCGCCTTCTGTAGACCAGGATCATCCAGCCTCTCAACAGGTAGACCATGTTGAAGAATGTCATCGCCTCCAAGGGCTAGTGAAGAAACTGAAGAGTGATAGGAAGGCGCTTCAAAATCTCTTGTTCAATAAAGAGTAAGTGCAATTCTTGTCTGAGATCTTTTGTAGGTGGAAATTATTTAATTATTTCCAATCACGTTGTAAAATGATGTGATATGTCTTCATATTTTCATCAAGAAAACAAATTTTGAGGATCCCTTCTGCTTTTATTTCAAAAGCTTCTTCTAGTCCTACTAGCGTTGTAAAATTACAGTGCAGAAAAAAATGTCAGTGAGAGGATGGAAAATGAGACTTTCTGCTTCTTTCTGACACACTTTTCAAGGTGTATTTTTTGCCAGCCACACTGAAAAGCCTTTGAAGGGTTTATGTCACTTTACGCAGAACTTCTTGCAAATATTTTTCTGTAAAAACTTGTTTTTTTTTTTCCCAAGACGTTTTGTCCTGATCTACCATTTTCTCCATTTAAAGCCTGCCTTCAGACATATGATGCACTGTGACTTCTTTTCTCCCCAGTAAGCAATGATTTGCAATTTGTATTGCTTGGACGCATTTGGTGTGTCAGTGCACAAGGGCAGACAGGTTAATCTGATCGTGAACAGAGATGTGCACACAGCTAACACTCTGCCTCCCACGTCAACTTGCCTCTGAACAAAAACGTGTAGTGAAAGCGTGCAAAAAGGCCTTTTGTTTCTGAACAATGCATTTTATCTTGTTTAAAAGGAAAAATTAAACAGTTACTTTACAAATTTGAGAAAACCTATTTTATTTAGAAGTTTAAACAAAAAATAACTACTTTGAAGTATGAATGTCTTAAGTATTGCTTAGATTTCCTTATACCTTTGTAGATTAGATATCAAGCAGTTACTGCAGGCTAAGGCTGAAGTGGAGCTGGAGCTGCAGAAGTGGCAGAATAAGATGGAAGAAAAGAGTACAGAAGAGCAGAGTTTGAGGTATCATATTTTGTATTAGTAAATCTTTTCGGAACCAAAAAAATATCTGTTACAGTATAATTCTCTTTTGAAGTGGCTCAAAACCCATAGGAGGTCATGAACTGCAGGAAGCTGGGTATTCATTTAAGCAGAACTGTTTTGGAGGGATGGAGTAAGTTACTAGGGGAAGAATTCTATACAGTGGTTTTAGAGGAAGTGGAAGACTAGGAAGTATAGTAAAAATAAGAAATTATAGTAAAAATTATTAAGATAGATGGAAAAGGAAAGCTGCCATGTTGGGCTTAGAGACATTTTTTCCTTTCTAGGAAAAAACTGTAGTGTCTTTACCTTACCTCAGCCTATGCTTGTAGACTATTACCGATATGTCATTCCATTTACTTCATGTATTCTCTGTAATTGTTGATAATAATCCTGTGCAAGGGTGGCAAAAAAAAAAAAGTTATTTCATTATTGCTTTGTAAGAAGGGACTTTGCTACAGTTTCATATTTGTCAGTCATCAGATCTAGAGGCATTGTCATCAGATCTAGAGGCATTGTCATCAGATCTAGAGGCATTATTAATAATATCAAGGGTACCATTGTAACCTTGGGAGTTGTTTGGGTTTGGTGTGTTTTTTGGTTTTTTGTTGTTTTTTTAATTTTAACATAAGGCTGTGCTGTCACAACTTGTGAATTAATGTTATGTCTGTTACTATGAGAATATGTGTTGTGTCTTCCTGAGCAGTTTGGCCTACTTTGGCTTTTTAAAACAACAAAGCAACCAAATCTTTTGAAAATACTGAACCTATTTCATAGCAGGAACAACAAGAAATTTCTAGCTATAAATATCTTTGCTTCTCCAACCATAGTGAGGAAATCCAGAACGTGACACAGAAAGTAGGGAAATTGGAGTTTAAATTGGCAGAAGAGAAGAGACAAATGGCAGAAGACTCAATGGAAAAGCTTAGTAAGGTACAGACACATGATTTTGTTTGTGGTTTTGTTTGTTGTTTTTTTTTCCCTTGCATCTAACTAATACATTGCAAATTGAGCTGATAGTCTAAATAGCCACTAGTTGTATCTTTTCAGAGTAGCATTAAATCTTGTCATCAAGATTTTGAGTGATGGTTAATTCCCAGCATTGTTTGATAAGTTGTTTCAATAATTGCCACTGCAACTTGGGGTTTTTATAGAGCTGTTCTCTTAGTGATTATCGCTTTTTTCTTACACAGTGGAATGCTGCAAAAAGCTTACAGTTTTAAGTGTTTGGGGTTTTTGCCTTTCTAAAAAAATTAAAAAAAAATTTGTGGTTTTGCTTGTATCTTCTTATAACATCTGAACCCATTAGCTAATTTTAGTCCAATTTTATAGAGGGAAGGAGATCTTGTAGGAATTGACAGTTAGATAAAGGATAGAGGCATAGGTAAGTGTGCTCGCTGGCAGACTGGCAAAAGACAAAAAAACCCTTTTCAATTATTTTTATGCTGGTTAGGTGATCAGTTAGCACACATGTACTGTCCACTCAGAAAATATTCATCAGCCTTTTTGTGTGGATTGAAGCAGGGTACTTTTTCATGGGAAGGTTTACAGGATGTAGAGCACTCATCATCATGAAAATCAAGGGTTTTTTAATTCCACTGCTGATGGGACATCATATTTGAGTGAAGAATTAGGAAAGACGTCAGTATGATAAAATAAACCCTTATCTCCTTTGAATTGAAGTTTTCCTAGAGTTGAGATATTCGTAACCTCTTCTTTCTGGATTTTCCAGTATCTAATAAATATAATTGTGCATCTGTTAACCCTGGACAGTCTTAAATGGGGCTCTGTAGTCAGCTGGTTTTTTTTTTTTTTGGTGAAATATGACTGGACTTGATAGCTTTGCAATCTTATGTCCCTCTGCCAAACGTTACTGGCCAGTAGAGATCAATGGGCACTGACAGACGTGCTTTCAGATGCAATGTGGTCATGTTAATCTCTAAATCTCTTTTGTTTCACTAAAAACTAGTTGAAAATTATTACTGGGGATTTTGATAGCTTGTACTTAAAAATAAATAGACCCTGAAATACAGGTAGTAAAAATATGAATAAAAATGTCCACTAGCTTAAGAGGGTGCTGGTTTTTTATTATAGTCTGCAATTCTTTAGATTATTTTTTTGTGTGTTATAGGCTGGTGGATGCTAGATGATGTTTCGAATACCAAATAACTTGAGTCTTTAAAAATAGCCCATAAGCAGCTCCTTTTTTCCTCTGCAGACTATATATATTCTTGGCCAGTAACCATCCATTTATTGAAATGTTCCCATTATTTGTAATTATTACTAAGTTCTTACCATTTTTTCATTTTAATAGTAGGTTGTCATTTTTAATATAACGTGATCCATTTGCTAAACTTAAGCTTGTAACTCAGCGTTTTTAGGTTATAAATAAATTCTTTTCACAAAATCAAGAGGGTTTTTTTCAGAGTCTGTAAAATCTCTTGTTTCTGTACTTGAAATTTTACACCAACAAATTAAATTAGTCTCGTAGTTAACTTTTTGGCAAGTGAGGTATGACAATTAGTATGGGATAATTAGGGATCAAAAGCATCAGATGGTGAGGTGGAATATGCAACCACACCTCAGACGAAATAACTGGAACAAAATCTTGTTTTGTTCTTGGTTTGTTTTTCTTTGCTCTAATTAATTTCTTCAAGATAGAAGAGTAGAGTTATGCCAATTTACACAAGCTCTTGGTCTTGTCGGTGTCATATGATGGCCAACTCATCAGTAAGCTTAAACAGATGGTTATGGGGCCACAGTTGCCAGGATGAGACATTAGAGAGCTCCCTGGTTAATTAATACTGCTCTTTCCTGGAGAATTGCAAAATTAGGTGTTCTGACATTTTTTCCCAGTCATCAATAACAGACAAACCATTTCCAATCAACAAAGCAGTGGGTTCTGCTGTTGGAGCTCTTACTGCTTTAGCAATGCATAGAAAAATAGGAGTATGTGTAAATGAAAATCTTTCCATTCCCATGCTCTGCTAACAGCTAAAATGGGGATAGGAATGTGTTTCGCTGTAACAGTCATCAAGATGATGAATTTGAACATGAGCAGTATTCAGAACTAAGAATTTCCTCTTTAACTTCCTTCCACCCTGCAGGCAAGATGAACATTTAACAACTCTGGTGTTGATTTTTCCCAGTCACTTGTAACCTATTTCCCCCGTAGAATTCCAACTTGTGTCTTTAGTGTACTAAGTTAAAGCTTCTCCTTTGCAGTCTTCACCAGCCTGCACAGTTAAAGGCAAAGATGATCACAGGAAGCAACAAGCAGCCAAAATCATCCAGAGACAGTGGAAGGTGTACTGCAACAAGGTGAGACTCTCCTATCAGGGAGCAGAGAAGACATCCTCCTCTGAATCTTATTCCTGTTTTAGCATCTACAGTAACCTGCTGCCAGGCTCCAAGAACTGCAGCAGTGCTTCCCAGTGTGATTCCTTACCACCATCTTCTCTTCCACTGCTGTTTTTAAAGTTCTCCCTGCTGCTTCTTTTCCCTTTGCTCCCTGGTACCCTATTGTTTCTGGGGAGTCTGAGTAGCAGAAAAACTAAGGAAGCATAGCAGTGCTTGAAGCAGCACTGCTGCTGTTGCCTTCTTGGAGCATGACTAAGAAGTTAAATTCCCCTTGCAGAAATCCTCCAAACAGTACAGGAAGTTTTATGTATCGAGTTACACTCAACTGGGACAAAATTATCTAGAGAAAAAAAAAAAAGCGTTAATCTTAAATTTTGTTCTATGGGCAACAACATAGTGCTGCTTTTTCCACATATAGGACATATGGTGTGAGGTGGGTCTTGTAATTGCTTGTTAGGAAACTAAACACAAAAGAACTATCCACACATCTTTCAAAGATAAAAAGCTTTTTTTCCCTTAAGTTTGTTGTTTGAGTTTTCAGTGGGAGGTGGGACAGGTATTTTCTGTGCGTTCTAATTGTTGGGGAAAATTTGGAAAATTTTTATTAGATAGAACTTGTATGTATTTGTGGCATTAACTTATGCATTTTTCATTTCAGAAAGAAGAAACTGCTCTGGATGAGGTGAGTGTGTTTTACGACACCCAGCAAAGCAGTAGACCAGATTTAATTTGCATCAAAGCACAAACAAGTAACTTTTTTTATTTTTAAAGAGGCTTTATTGTAATATGAACTGTTATATCAAGATCATGTTTGTTCTTCAGGCTGGCTCATGATCTTCCTTCTGACATCATGGTTTTGTTTGATAGATCTTGTCAAAGTGTTCCCCTTTTGGTTTCAAATTTTCTGTACTTTTGGTACCTTCTGTAAGATGAATGCTTCTGAAAATGTTGAACAAAATTTGATACAAACAGACAGGAAAGTTTTTTTCTATATAAGGTAATTCTAATAATGCTTTAATTTTCACCATGATGAGTCTTCAGAAAGATTTAAAGTAGGAATTTGAAGCCTTTGCTAAGGACAAATGTCTGAATATTATGAAGAAATTGACTTTGACAAACTTGTCACTTCTTGATAAATGTTTTGCACAAAGATTTTGATTAAACTGTTTTTCAAATAGCGCAACGTAGCATGTTACACTTGTTTCCTCCAGAACATTAAAAATCCTACTTTCAGAAATTAGGACAAATTCTAACCATGTGACACAAACATGCTGTTTTACATCTAGATGCTTTTTGTTGATTAGAATCCAGTAAAGTCTCTAAGTAGGGAGGAACAACTTGTGTTCAGGATGATCACCACAATGGTCTGCCAGACTTGGCTTGATTTCTGCTTGTACCAGAGCATCACAGAGCCTGCTGGGTGCCCAGTATCTAATACGGGAATGGGAGCATGTTACTCTATTTGTGAAATACAGGCTAGTGTTGGCAGTTAGAACTTAACTGCATTTGATAAGATCAATCATGAATGCTTCCCAGATTGACTTTAAACCATGGATGTGTATGTTTATGGGGTGTCACAGGCTGGGGATTCTCTGGGTTGCAGCAGAGTACCTGTGAAGTAATGGGGACGTGTGTGTATCCCTTAAACATAAGAAAATGTCAAGACATCAAGGTGTTTCCACTGCACAAGAAAAAGTTATTTTCCCCATGTGCCTCTTCCCTCTGGACTCTTGTTTTAATTTATAGCTGCCATCTTTCAAAGGAGCTAACATGTACTTACTTCTTTCCCATGCTAGGCAGTTGTTATGCTTCAGGCAGCTTTCAGAGGACATTTAGCTCGACAGAAACTGTTACTGAATAACAGGATGCATGATGCAAAATCTCACAGCAAGGTAATTGTTGGGTCAAATGGGTGTCCAGACATCTCGTTAAGTTTAGTTTACAGAGTAAAGTACTGTACTTCCAGACTTAATTCTCTGAATCACTCAGCGATGTTGTTTTAATGCACTGGTTGGCAGCACCACTGTAATACCGGAAAGATATTGAACTCATTCCCTAGCCTCCCTTTCCATTTTCTTTAGTTTACAGTTTTTCTTAGAAGTAAAGCTTCTTCTTTGGACTGTAACTAGGTCTCTTCTCTTTTTCTGGTTCTCCCATCAGCTAATAACATACTCTTTAATTCAGAGTGCAATTGAAAACCGTACTTGCTCTCAGGTGTTCACTACGGGATCATTGTAGTAACAGACAAACCTTTCTCACTGAAGTTCAGAAATAAGAATTTGGAAAGCATCTTTGATTGAATTGAAAAGTAAAGGAGTCTTGTGTGTGGCATGCTCAGCCAAAGACTTGTAGTGTCCTCTGTCATGTCAAACTTGCTCCAGATTGCTCAGTTCTGAATATGAAAAAACTTCCTTACCAATTAAACATTTAGTTTCTGTAAATCATTTGCCAACTTATACGAACATACTTTGGACCTTTAGCAGGCTAAAGTTAATTTGTAATTCTCCATCCAGGTTGTCCCTTTCATTATACTTTACCTGCACTTTTGTTTCAGTAAACTGGCCCAATGTAGGACTGAATACTCTGCCTGATACAAGCAGAAGATATATCCATCATGAAGGTTGCCTTACCTCCTTCCTGGAAAATAAATGAACTTTCCTTGCAGGTGTCTGCTCTTTCATTAATTGAAAACAGATGCTTCAAAGCTTCTGTGATGATCAGATTGGCATTTC